TCGGCCGGAACCTTCTCCCAGGGTCCCACACGGCCTGTGCCCTTCCTTCCGCCAGGGCACGTCCTCCGGGCGGTCTGGGCTGGCCCCGTAGATCCCCCTCACGTGCCTGAGCCTCCGGGGGCCCAGCCCTGGTCCCCATGCCCTGGCGTGTTCCTGTACGTCCGTCTGTCCACCTGCCCCCTGGCTGTGAGCTCTCGGGGCTGAAATGGGGCCGAGCCCCCACAGGGCAGCCCACGGTGCCCCAGCCCACGCTGGGTGGGAGGGCGCTGGGGCCGGCGGAAGACTCCCAGGAACCGCCAATTTACTGTCCGTGCTGGGGGTTTCAGGTGAAGAAGAAGAAGTTCAAACTGGACAAGGACAACGGGCTGAGTCCGGGAGAGAAGACGTTCACGATCCCTCACATCACGTGCGACCCGGCTTCGGAGGAGCGGCGGCTGGACCCCTTCTCCGCCGACGGCTACGACAGTGCCGGTGAGGCCCCTCCCGGGGCGGCTGAGCGGGCGGGCGCGGCTCGGACCCCTGCCCACTCCTGCCCAGGACCCTGCGGTCGCTCAGGGGCCCCAGGGCCTGGCACTGGCCCGCGGGGCCGGCGTCTGCCTCAGAGTCCTGCCCCTACTTCCAGCCGTTCTGTTCTAACTCCAGGGCGCCTGAGTCCTACTGTGGCTGGTGCCCGGAGTCAGCAGAAGGGGTGGCCCCCACACAGACCCCTCCCAGGGGCGTGGGCACCGGGCACTCCACTCACTGTCGCTCCCAGGCCCACCCCTCCCCTCGCGGACCTGGTCCTGGGACCCACGGGTGCCCGTGGCTGTGAGGACGGCGGCACTGTCCCCCGTGTGGCCCAGCTCCTGTCCTTCACCCTCCGCACCCACGGGGGCGGTGCCCGGCCCACCCAGCACTTGGTTCACGGGCAGGGGACCCGCTGTGTCCTCTGTACCTCGTGATCACCCCTGGCAGGAGGCGGGCAGTGCGCTGGGAGGGGCCTCAGATGCTGTGCTGGGGGGAGGGGCACTGCCGTGGGCATCCTCCTGGGAGCCGGGCGGGCGGGACGGAGCGGGCACCCACCCCGAGGGGCCCCGGGCTGCCTGTGGCCGCATCACGTGCCGTCTGGCTGTGGCTCTGGCCCAGCCGCATCGCCGGTGAGCCCGGGACGTGCTCCCGCTGCTGCCGGAGTGGCACAAAGGACAATTGTGCCCACAGATGCCCGGTGCCCCACGGCTGGGCTCGGGGGCAGGGCCATTGTCGGGATGCAAATGGGGGCTTTCTGCGGATGCTAATGGGCAGGTTGGGCGCGGGGAGAGGCCTCCTCCGTCGGCGACTGCGGAGCCGGCGCTGCGTCCATTCAGCCGCGCGTTGCCCGGCGCACAGCGCGCCCGCCGCATGCTGATGAGGCGTCCGTGCCCGGAAGGTCGGCGCCGGGCGTGCGGCTCTGCACGGCTGGTTCTCTTCCCCGGCGCGGGCGACCCGTCAGCCGGCCCTCCGCGTCGAGCTCCCCCCGAGGGTGACCCAGGGCGGGCCGTGGAGAGCCTGGCGTCGGGGGGAGGGTGTGGACCGGCCAGTGCCAGCCCTGGGAACAGCCACGGCCCCAGCTCCCCATGGGGCGCCCGCAGCCCTGCTCGGTCCGACGGCTGAGCCGGGCCCAGGCCTCCGTCTGAGCCTGGCAGGTGCGCTTGTGGGCGAGCAGACAGGAGGGTCAGGCTGACGCCACCCCCTCCCGCAGACGCACGCCTCTCACCTGCACAGGGAGCTTCATGGCAGTTGTAGGAAAACGGAGCCAGAAGCCCAGCAGCTTTGGAACATTTTTTTAAAGTTGTCGTCTCCGTAAACGAATCCTTCTTATATAACATTAGAAATCAGCAATGAAGAGCCGGGCGCGGTGG